AAACTGTTCTAAAAAATAAAATTAAATTAACCAATTCAGAGTGAACAATCAGAGGCATTTAAAAATTTTTAAAAATAGGAATGAAGTACTCTACTAACAGGGGCTACAATATGGATAAACCTTGAAACTATTATGCTAAATGAAAGAAGCAGTCACAAAAGGCCACACATTGTATGATTCCACTTATATGAAATGTCCCGAGTGGGTAGATCCGTACAGATAAAGTAGGTGGTGGTTGCTTATGGCAGGGGAGAGGGGAGATTGAGGAGTGACTGCAAATGGGTATGAGGTATCTTTTCGGGGTTTTAAAAGTGTTCTGGAAGTAGATAGTGGTAATGGTTGCACAACCTTGTGAATATGCTTAAAAACCATTTACTCGTACATTTAAAACTGGTGAACTGCGTGGTGTTTGAATTATATTTCAATAAAGTTGTATATAATACCACTCAATATTATACATTGGTTTGGACAGATGTATAATGATATGTGTTCACCATTGTAATATCATATAGAATAGTTATATTAAAAAACAAAACAAAGAACTCTGGGGAGGAGTTAAGCCAGCCCTTGGGTCCCCAGCCTGGGGTGGAGCAGCTGCTGGTCTTGCTCACTGAGGGCTAAGAACAAGCATTTTCCTATCATGTCCTTCATTCCTCCCACAGACCAGGGACTCAGGCCCACTTCACAGATGAAGATGTGTTCCTAGGTCACCCAGCCCTTCAGCCATGGAGACCCAGGTCTCTGGCTCCAGAGTCTGTGTTATTTGGGTCACAAACTTGGAAGGCCCCACCAGTGTGGAACCAGGGTGGGACTGACTTATCCCTCAAATATCTATTTGTTCATTGTAAAATGGACTGGCCACCCCTGCCATCTTTGGGGGCTGAACTGAGCAGAGCTGCCAGCTATAGTTGGGCAGAATGTGCACTGCACAAGAGCACACATCAAAGGGGGTGCTGTTCCCAGCTTAGACCAAGTAGATATGAATACTAATGTTGACGGTGATTATAAAAAGGTGTCTTGTTCTAACAAGATCAGTTTATGATGGCAGTTTTTATAAAATGCCTCAAGGAAGGGTACTTTTCTTTATTGAGGTGAAATTCACATAACATAAAATTAATCAATTTAAAGTGAACAATCTAGAGGCTTTTAATACTTTCCCATGTGCAACCTCCACTTCTATCTAGTTCCCAAATATTTGCATCACCCCAAAAGTAAACTCCAGGAGGACCTTTAGGAGGCAAATATGTCATGAGGGCAGAGCCCTCATGAATGGCATTAGTGCCCTTATAAAAGAGACTCCAGTGAGCTCTCTAGCCCTGTTTCTGTCACATGAGGTTACAATGAGAAGTCGGCGGTCTGCCACTTCCTTCACCATAACCCTACCATGCTGGCACCCTGATCTTGAACTTCCAGCCTCCAGAACTGTGAGAAATAAATTTCTGTGGTTTTATAAACCCCCTAGACTATGGCACTTTGTTATAGTGGCCCAAACTGACAAAGACAATGTACTTGTTTGAGTCCTCGTTTTCAGTTCTTTTGGGGATATACCTAGGAATGGAACTTCTGGGTGATATGGCAGTTCTGTGTTTCACCTTTTGAGGAACTGCATGGGCGCCTTTTTCTAATTCACCCAAAGGCACAGTGTGGGTGGGCGCAGCGGCCCTACCCATGAAAGTTGCACAGTCTTTAGAGCTCCTATCCACCCAGGCCTCAGGAGGTGCCCAGCCTGGGGCTGGGGGTCCATAGATGTAACTTCTTTCCACCCTCACAGCCAATATCCCAGTGAAAGTCAGGGAAAGGGGCTCAGAGAGAGGCAGTGACCTCCTCCCACGAGTCACTTAGCAATAAGTGGGGGCCTAGACTTGAGATTATCCTGTCCGAGTCCCAAATCTGTTCACTGGACCATTGGCCCATTAGGATTTTCAGATGTGGCATCATGAAGATGGCAGAGCTTTCTGCCCTAAGACGTACCTGAGGGCAACTAAGCCTGGGCCTTTCTTGCTCCTTCCCTGCCCTGTCTGTACCCCCTCCCCACCTGCTTTGGAGGCTAGAGGCTGGTGGAGAGCTCCCTTCAAGCAGATGTGGCCACATGACCCCCATCCATCATCTGTCATCCGTCATCTGTTATCTGTCAGCCCCAGGGAGCTGAGGGCAAGATTAGAAACTGGGCCATCAATACAGCTGTTCTCTAGCCCAGCCCCCAGCCCAGTATGGGGAGCAGGGGTCTCTGGAAGACATCCTTGCCAAGTGAGAAATGAGCTCTTGCTGGAGCTGCTGGCCAAGGGTTTCAAATGAGTGAGGGTGTGGGCCTTTCCTCCCAGGCCTGGCCCTGGGGCCTCGAGACCGCTCCTCAGCGATCCCTCCATTTGCCTTCTGCAGAATCAATTATTGATGAAGCCTCTGCAGCCAGGGGAGTCCCAGTGGAGTCTCCTGGCTGCCGTTTTCAGTCTTCACGGGGAGTGAAGGGGCCAGAACAAGATGAGCTTGTTCCTGAAGGTATGGCCAGTGAGATGGTCCAGACTGCGCCTCCCAGCACTTAGAGGCCCAGAGCACCCCCAGGCCAGGGCTGCCACCCACCTGTAAGGGAAGAGGAAGCCTGGGACTGCTTTGCCTCCCAGACCACCCACCATATGTCTCAGAAGACTGTGGGTGAGCCTGCCAACAGCAGCCAGGGCCAGGAGCCATGCACTCACTCCTGCTCCCACACACACCTGGGGTGCAGGCTCAGACAGGTGGCTGGTGGCCCTAATGCCAGGGAAGTGTCTGGATGAGAGAGGGGAGGCTAGGAAGGATCTGGGCTGCCTGAAAGGAGATGGTGTGACAGCCACACTTCCTGTCCGCCCATCAACTTCCCTCAGGGGAAGACATGACATATGGGAAATGACATTGGGAGGCCACAGCAGATGGCAGAGGAGCCCCGGGAGCTGCTGGGAGGGTGTCTTGCCTCACACGGTGCCCGAGGTGCGGGCTTCTTGGGTGGTGGTGTACACAGGGCCCACCCAGTCTCCAGGAGCCTCTTCTCCCTCAGAAGAGGAGGGGCTCTCTCTGAGCTGTGTGTTTCTTCTTCTGAAAGCCCACTTCCCATGCCTTCTCTTGTTCTTGCCATGGGCCTCTGTGGTTTCCATGTCCCCTCTGAAGTCTCCCACAGGCCTGGAATTCCTTTTCTGCCTTTAAGCCTCTCCAGGGGCCCAAGCTGTTAGAGCTGGACAGTGCTGCCTCCCAGGCCCACCTGTGCCTGCGTGGCCCCAGGGCTTGCGCCCCTTGCCAGCCTCTGCTCACCTGTGTAATGGCCACGCTTGCACCTGCACCTGCTGAGTGGGCTGTGGGAGGGTAAGTGGGAGAATGCAGGCGCCAGGCTGGAAAGGGGCTCCAGGAAAGTGGAACTCGTTACCGGATGAGAATTAGTAAATGAGTGAACGTATGAATTTAACCAATCCTCTGTCCACCTCTATGTTCAGATAGCTAGATCGCAGGTGACCTTAACTCCCCTGGCTTAAGATGCCCTGTGTATCTCCAGAGAGTGGGTCTGAGCAGGGCTGAGGGGAGAGTGAGTCAGGCAAGCGCCCAGGGCACAGGACTGAAGGAGGCTGAGTGAGTCCCTGTTCTGGTCACTGCATGGCTAGGGGCTGGGGAAGGGCTGACTAACACTGTGGGGGTGCAGGGAGCAGGCTGTGACGTGGGAAGGCTCTGTTGGGGGAAGGCTGGGCGTGGTGGGGCCGTGCAAATAACCCCCTTTTTGGGCCAGTACTGGGCAGCAGGGCCAGTGTTGTCCCAGTATTGACTGGGACCACCTGACCTGGGGGACACGTGTGTAAGAAATACACTCACAAGGGCGAGGCCACCTGGAGTGGGATTCCCACTGGGATCAGACCCCAAGCTGGGGTGGGGGCAGAGGCAGAGGAGGGAGCAGGAATGAGGAGAAGGTGCTCAGACGTGTCCCATTTTTCCTCCTGTTAGATGGGGACAGGATGGTCATGACACCCAGCCCATAGGGTTGCTGTGATTAAAGCAGCTTCCCCTCCGTGCTCTCTTAGCTACTGTCCCCTCTTTATACTATGAAAATAACTATGTATTCAAAACTGTCTCTGGCCTGTGGTTCCCCCGCAGATCTCCGGTGGGCATCTTGGGCCAGGGTGCAGTATGTGGGAGCCGCCTCCCTGCCTTCTTCACACTTCTATTGAGCACCCACTGTGGTCCTTCCTCCAGGGGGTGCTGGGGAGTCAGCAGAGATGACCAGGTCACTACCCTGGTACTTGGGGTCCCACAGATGGGTGGAGGAGAAGGCCCAGGCCCAGACAATCATACCCAGGGTAACAAGTGCTGCAATAGCCTGGAGTGACGGTGCCTGAACTATTGGGCACAGAAAAGGGACAGGGCACCCCAGGCAGAGGGCCTGGCACCTATAAAGACTGCATTGGGACCAGGGGTGAAGGCAGAGCACAGGGGCGTGCAGCGGGGGTGGGGAAGGGAGCAGTGAGGAGACTTGAATGCCAGGGTGAGAGCATGGGGTCAGTCCTGTAGGACCCAGGGAGCAGGAAAGTGACAGGAGGGGACCTGCTTCAGGAATGTGTCTCCAGTAGAAGAGACAGACAAACAGAAGGATGGACAGACAGTGGGTGGATAGCAGGGAAGGAACAGGGGAAATAGGGAAGAGGGAAAAGATATTTCTCAAGCACTTGGATGAGGTCATTGTGGTCACTCTCTGGACCTTGGCTGCAGGGGGCTGCTTGCCTGGGCCCACAGGGCCAGACCAAGAGAAAGTGTCTCTGCCCCCGAGAAATGTACTGCGAAGGGTGAGATGTTTGAGGAGCATGTCAAAGTGAGGGCGTGTGAACCACATTGAAGCAACTCTGACAGAGAAGACTCTGTTATCAACTGGGCAGAAACAACCGAGCCCCTTGCATTTCCCTGGCGAGCTTAGTCTTCCATCCTCCCAAGCCAAGTATCGAAATTGGAGAGGCCATTGCTGTGTCAGCCAGGGCCTGTAGCTGGTACACCACTATAATACAAGAAGAGTTTAATAAAGGACCACTTACAGAGGTGCAGGCCTGCACTGGACAGTGCGGTTCTAGCTCTGGAGCTGGCGACAGCAGGACACCATATTGTGTCCTCTACACACACACACCTCTAGGGGCCCGAAGGAGCAAGGGAGGGCCATGGGTCCAGCCAGCACACCCTGGCTCTCCCATCCTGTGACACTTTCTATTGCACCCAGCAAACCCACTACTCCCTAACGCACACCCGATGCCACCTGCTTTCCCTCCAGGCTGTGTTTAGTGGACCACAGCCCAGAGAACGGCCCAGCCAGGCCTCTTTTGGGAATCCTGAGTATGCAAAGCAATAAGTACAAGGATGGCCACTGCAGCACCATCAGTAAAAGCTAAAAGTTGGACACAAACTGGATGACTTGTGTATAGGGCAGGTCAAATGAACCATGGGCCATCCATATGAAGGAAAACTGGGCAGCTCTAAAGGAATGAGGAGGTTCGGCATGTGCAGGCAGTGAGGGGGCTCGGTGGCAGATCATTAGGAATTTGGGCGCCAGGCAGTGTGTACATCATGAGGTCATTCTGGTGAAATGACACACAGCCAGCAAATGTGGTGGACCAACTGGAGGGGCTTCCGCTTTGCACTGTCTTGCTTTGCACTAAGCATGCAATTCCTTTAAAAGTCATTTATATAAAGAAGTGTTTTTTATAAATGAGAAAAGAGAGGTAAAAATATGGTGAAGGGGCAATGAACAGGAAAGAGGCTAGCGTTCCTCCCTGATATTTGGCAATTGCTGTGAGTCAAACATTCCCGGGGCACCTGCAGCATGCCAGGGACTAGGACAGTGGTGTAGACCACAACGCTGCCCCTCAAATGCTCAACACCTACGGGAAGCAGATGATGCCACACGTATCCACCTGCCTATGGCACAATGTGGTTGGAGATAGGTGGGCACAGACCCAGGGGGACAGGAGCAGTGAGAGGAGGGGTCAGGGAAGACCCCATGGACAGATATGCTGGGCAGAGAGCTGGGGGGAGGTATGGGAGTTCCTGCCCACTCTGGGTGTACAGGAGGAAACAGCAGAGACGGAATGTGCTAGACTCCAGACGGCCTCCAAAGTCCTCCAAAGATGTGTGGACACCATGACAAATGTCCAAAGAGACATGCAGGCCATCAGGAGAGATGGATGGGGAGGCAACAGTGGGTCCTGGCCTAGTTTGAGTGACCAAGCAGAGCAGTGCCACACTCAAGGGATGAAGCAGTGAGATAGTCAAGGGGCGCTATGAGTCTTCTTCCCTCAGCACGGCCAGGGAAATGAGTCATCCAGATGGGCCAGAGGGGCACCAGGGGCTTGTTCTGTCCATCCTCGCCCACTGACCAGGAGCGCAGGACTCTGAAAATCTCAGAGGTACCAGAGAGGGCCCCTTGGCCAGAGGGAGCCTGAGAGACTTCTTGTCCATTGTCCTCCAGGGAGGGGCAGGGCTGCCCAGGGACCCTGAAAGTCTGTAGCAGAGGGACAGCAGACAATGAGGCCTAGAGCTTTGAGGCCCAGAACTGCAAGTCCCGTTGTCAATAGAAAACTCCCAGGGGGGATGGCAGGTGGATTTTTCCTCAGCTGCCGACCTTGACAAGTCCCGGTTGCCTGGAACACTAGGTGAGGATTTTGAGGCCACATCCAGGATTGCTAGGAAACAGTGCCAGGGTCGATGTAGGCCATGAGCGAGGGATGTGGGCTGGGGAAGGAGTGTCCCAAGTTTGCAGTCCTGAAGCCTCTCAAGGCCAAGGGTGACTATCTGATGACTTTTCAGGAAGAACTGGCTTTCCGGGAGATCACAGCAGTGCCCCACCGGCAGGGCAGTGTGGGGCCCCTGAGCAGCCCATGGGGGCCCCTCTTGGCTCCCAACCTACCAAAGAGCCCCTGGGGCTCAGCACAGTTGGCAGGTGGAGAGATGGGAACAGACCTCTACACCTTGAGGGCAGACAAGCTGCAGAGCCTGGGCTCCATGTCACCCTCCAGTCACGGAAGCCTCTTCCCATGTGCGTGCAAGGGGTGGAGGCCTCTAATGCAGGCCCCAGCTAGCAGCAACCCAGGCTGGAGGCCTTCCTGCTCTCTGGGGTCTCAGGTGGACTTCCTTCCATTCCTGTAGGAGGGGAGAAATAACTTTGCATCCACCAAGCATCCTGCAGCTGACACTAGGCAGGGGCCATCCCCACCCGTCCAACAACCAGAGCCATGAGCTTGAGCTCCTAGGCCAGTCGTTCAAGACCTGATGACCTGGCACAGGCCAAGAGGCCTGAGGGGCATTCCAGGCAGAAATAACTTTGCATCCACCAAGCATCCTGCAGCTGACACTAGGCAGGGGCCATCCCCACCCCTCCAACAACCAGAGCCATGAGCTTGAGCTCCTAGGCCAGTCGTTCAAGACCTGATGACCTGGCACAGGCCAAGAGGCCTGAGGGGCATTCCAGGCGGTGGAACAGTGTGGGCAAAGGCGAAGACTGGGAGAGCTGGGGCCAGGACACATCTGCAGAGCCTGGGATGCCAGCCCAGCCCATGGGAAGCCTGTTGGGACGACAGGGAGGGCCAGGGAAGGTGTCTGAGTTGGTAGGTGGGGTCAGGGAGGCTGCAGGTGTGAGATGGGGTGACAGCCCAGAGACGAAATCAAAGAAGGCCAACAGAAGGTGATAAATTAAGGAAATGGCAGGGTCTCGGGTGACGGGAGAATGGAGGACATAGATTTTAGCCCGTGAGCCTGCTTCCCAGCCCCGTCCAGCCCTGCCCATACGCACGGATGAGGTCTCCATCCCCGACCTGGAGCCGGGTGCTGCTCCTCCTCTCCAGGTCCTGCAGCACCGACTGCTCGAATGCCAGGGCGGCTACACGGCTGAAGAACGCCTTCACGTTCTCCCCTGTGGGCCCATGAGAGTGCTGTGACCCCGCCGCCTCTGCTGTTGCTGGCAGACGTTTGGGTGCAGGAGCCAGGGTGGCCCAACCCCCAGGCTGGCACATGGCCCTTCTAGAGCACCCTTGATAGTAATAGTAATCACAGGAGGGTGCAGCCCTGTCCACCCACCAAGTGGGCAGCACAGTGATCAGGGCAGCACCCCCTCACCACCCACCTGGCTTCCCGCTTGGCTCCAGCCCCCCATCCCACCCCAGCTGCCTGCCCAGGCTGCTCCCTCAAACCTCTGAGCCTTCATTTCCCAGTGTCTACTCTTCCAGTCAGCTGCTACTGAGCACCTGCGATGGGCCAGGTGCTGGGACATGCGGAGCTCAGGACAAACACGTGCCTGCTCTCCTGTAACTTTTGATACCTGTCCAATGGGGCTGTGAGGATTAATGTGTTGTGGCCCCCCACAGCAGACTTTGTGCATCCTCCTCCAGGCGGAGGCGGCTGTCCATCAGGGAGCAGGCCAGGTTCCAGCCCCCAACACAAACACAGCCCTTGTGCAGATAACAACCTGCACAACTGCATAGGGCGGTGCTGCTTGGCCTTTCAGTGAACTGCTACTGTGATAAAGGAGGGTTAGTTCTCACAGGGCATGAGGGACACCTTCGGGAAGAACCAGCAGAGGGCACTGGGCACAGGTGCTGCCAGGAGTGTGTCTGTGTTGGGCTGGAGGTGGTGCCACTTCCCATGGTGCCCATCAGCGCTCACCCAGTCCCTGGCCAGATGTCTGCTGTCCCCCCTTTGCCCAGGGCAAGGACTACTGATCCTGATTCCTCTTGGGATCAGTAGTCTGCACAGAGCCTCTTGGGCCTACTGTGTGCCAGGCGCTGCTCGTTATTTCATCTCATCCCACAACCCCTGTGTTTTCCAAGTTTGCTCTTTGCTTCTTTACATTTTCTAATTTTTTCCTTACTAAATATATATGGCTTTAGTAATTTAAAACATGGTTTTTCATTAACAATAAAGCCAGGGCCGGCCCGTAGCTCACTTGGGAGAGCGTGGTGCTGATAACACCAAGTGAAGGGTTAAGATCCCCTTACTGGTCATCTTTTTAAAACAAACAAACAAACAAACAAACAAACAAACAAACAAAACCAATAAAACAAGAGGGACAGCATCACCCCACTTCCCAGATGAGGAGACTGAGGCTGAGATGTTGGGCATCTTGACCAGGGCTGGGGCCCAGTATGATGGGGGCTGACAGGGTGCGGAGGGAGGTGGGTGAGAACTGGGGGCCGAGAGTGACAATCAGTGCACAAAAATATTCGGGAAGGGGTGGGAGCCTCCTATTACTGGACCCATCTATGTGCCAGGTGGTGCCACACACCCAGCATCCACAGGTTGGGGGAGGAAGGTGTAGTGGTTACAGGTGAGGGCTGCGTTTGGATCCTGGCCTTGCCACCTCCTGTGGCCCTGGAAGTGACTTAACAGGAATAAAAATGGAACCTGCCTCATGGGTGGATGTGGGGGTTGCACTGTAGAACATGCCATCGGGGCATGAAGCCAGGGGTCACTATTCCTCCCATCCGTGAGGCAGACCTCCCAGTTTCATTCTAGAGATGCGGAAACACCTCTCAGGCAGTGGAAGGTGCTGCCAGTCACCAGCACTGCTGGGCTGTGACAGCAGCACACGCCAGAGCCGCAGAAGGAAAGGTGAGAGCTTCCGCAGCATGGCAAGCTCTGCAGAACTGGCCGCACCACGTGACAGCCCCGAGCCCCACTCACCCGTCTTGGCTGACACCGACCAGTACTCGGCCTGCATCTTGTTGGCCAGGTGCACAGCCTCCGCCTCGGCCTGCTCACACGCCGCCCCTGACTGGGAGAAGTGGCCCTCGCTGACCCAGCGTCCCAGCCCTCCTGGGGGTAGGCAGCTGCCCACTTCCCCACTGTGCTGCGTCCCTCCCCTTGCTCACTCCCCCTCTCATCGGGGCAGGCAGGGCGGGCTCAGTGTGGGGAATGTTGCCTGCCCATGGGTGACAACCCAGAAGTCCCCGGGCAAGTCTGAGTGCTAATTGTCCCTCTCTTAGGGACCTAGAGCTCCCCTAACTTTCAGCTCCAAGGCCTGTGGTCTTTGAGTTCCAGCTGTAGGCAAAGCAGTGCCACCTGCTTTTCCTCAAACTTGGGCTGAAAGTGGAGGCACTTCCTGAGGCCACCCAATCCTCCAGCTCCACTCTGCTTACCAGAAGGTCCTTCTTGGTCCCCACGAGGAAGATGAAGCAGGAGCCTACCTCATTCTCCCTCAGTGCATCTTCCAGCCACTGCCTGGAAGGCACAGAGGGGAGACAAGCTGAGAGATGTCACCCCTCCGTTCACCCAGAGGGGCCTGAGGAAGACCAGGGGATGGGGTCCGACGCAGGTCCTCCCCAGGGCTGGGAACACCAAGCCGGGAGCCGCAGGGAGGGCGCCTTGGCCACGCTGGCTGAGTGGGATGCTGGTCCTGCAGCCAGAAGGGCCTTGGCTGGACAGAAGGTGGGTGGGCACACAAGATCAGGTCGGGAGATATGAAGTCCCCGTTCTGGCCCTGGCTCTGCCCTCACGCTGTGAGGCCTGGGGTGAGCCTGCGCTGTAATGAACTGGAACGCTCGCTCCTGCCTCCCTTGTGGGGTTTGGGAGGTGCTGGCTGTGAGTGCTCCAGACAAAGGTATGGTGAGGAGGCTTGGCCCATTAGCTGGACGATTCCCTGCAGAAGCAAGATGGCCTGCCTCCTGGAATCGGTCATGGTGTCCTGATTTATGCCCAAGACAGCAAGTGCCAAATTCATGTCCCTTCAGACAGGGCTGGCCATAAAAATTTTCAGGGCTCAGGGCAAAGTGAACAAGTGGAGCCCCTCATTCAAAAATCATTAGGACTTTCGAGATGGTGACAGCAGCGTATATTATTAAAGCAAGCATGGGCCTTTCTAAGCACATGCCGTGGTGCAGCTGTGCTGGCTGCGTGCTTGTGAGCTGAACTCTTTCAGAAGCACGTGGGGCAGATCTTGAGGGGTCATAAGGCAAACGGACAGTAAGCAGCTTGTGAGAAGTTGGTTCTGACATGTGAGCCCAGTCACTCACACCCACCATTGCAGGCCCAGCCGACTGGCCCAGGTTTGGGGAACACTTCCAGGGAGCTCCCTGAGCCCAGGGGGACCCCAAAGGCTGCAGTGTGGGACTTGCCTGGTGTGCTCCAGAGTCTGCACATCAGTGAGGTCGAAGGCCGTGATGATCACTGGACACACAGGGGAAAAGCAATAGCCAATCAGTGACAGGTGAGGCAAACACAGAGTGACAGAGGGGGCTGCCTGTGGGCGCTTCCCTGTGGGCGCCTCCACACTTCTCAGGGGGAAGCTGGAAAGGAGCCCGGTTCCAAGGAACTGCTAGGATGGCCCCCAAGGCACTCATCCCTGGACCCCATGATGGAGGCTAGGAGGCGACAGTCCATAGCTGCCCCCCGGGATCCACCCTCTCACCACCCACCCTGATTGGCACCCAGCAGCACAGCCTCAGGGTGGAATCCAGGCAAGCAGGGCAAGGCGGGCATGGAGCATGTGGGCTTTGGTGTCAGAGACCCTCTGCCACTTGCGGCTAAGGGAGCTCAGGTGAGGGCCTTAACTGCTGAGAGCCTCAGTTTCCCCATCTGTAAAAGGGTGAGAGTGATACCTCCAGCTCTCAGGGTTACTGTGAGGATTACACAAGAGCAGCTATTTAAAAAAGTTCTTAGTCCAGGGCCTGGCACAGGGCAGACTTTCAACCAATGGCAGCTATGGCATTTAGCATTTATGACAATTAGTGACAACCAACTTTAGGGAAACAACATCTGGGAAACAGATGGGCAGAAAACAGGGAGATGTAGCCTCTGCTTTCAGCTCCTCTTGTCACTGGCCCCACCCTGGTCCCATGGTATCAAGGGTGGCTGGGACCCCATTGGGGTCCTAAGGGGAGCCCCACATGGAGGACATTCCAGACAATGTCCTCCCTGGAGGTGTGAGCAGGGCTGGAGAGGGGCTTCCTCTGCACCTTGGCTGAAGGCTCAGGAGAGCCGTGGTCCCCTGCTGAGGCAGAGGGGAAAGGAAGGAGGAAACAGATGGTGGGACGATGGTGGCCCAGCTGGGGCTTGCAGCAGTATGCCGGGTGCCTCACACCTCTAATCCCCAGGGGGTGGCATCCCCTCGAGAAGAGAGAGGCCCAGAGAGGTGAAGGGTGCAGGAGGCCACAGCAG